GAGAGAGAGAGAGAGAGAGAGAGAGAGAGAGAGAGAGAGAGAGAGAGAGAGAGAGAGGAAAAAAGAGAGATGAAGCGAGGTACAGCCTCCGTATGATGTCCGGGGGATTAGAAACGGCGCGTAAATAAAAATATCACGACGGGGGCGATTTATAGCGGTGGATAACGAGGATATCGCGCGCGCGCATTCTCGTTGGAAGAGGAAGCGAGCGTACGCGCATGCGCGCTTGCTACGATGGTGAAGCACAGGCCGCGTCCGTAATTGCACGCGAAATCTTGCATGCCTACTTGATGTAGAGGTACCGTCTTGCGGGGAGGAGACGCTGCCTCCGTCGCAAGTTGGCCGTAAATCTCTCGTGATTAGCCACGGGATGCGAATTACTGACCGTCGACGACGGCATAGATCAAGACGCGGCCTACATTGTTCATAAATGCAAGCTCCCGCGCTTTGATTTGCGTAAAGCTTATTCTACAAATTAGTCGAATATTCTCTTGATATTCGACTGTGATTGGTTAATTCTTACAACCACAACTATTTACAACTTATGCTTACACAATTGTAGAATAAATTTAACAAGACGTACGGAATACTATCATCCGCGATGCGGCGTTACTGCCGAGAAAGAGAATAATCTAATCGTTTTGATGGATTCTTTCTTGATATCATTGATAATGTGGGACGATGATAAGGTCTTGGATCTAATCTCTTTGCGATTAGCGCGATCGTTACTTTCTTTATTTTTTTTTATGTAAGTACATCTCATGTTTAACTGATTTGGATTCCGTAAGAACTAGATGCACAGTCGTGAGACTCATTTAACTCTATATAAAAATACAAAAACAATTTTAATGAAATAGAAAGAAAAATTTAAGATAACTATTATTTAAGGCTCGATCCATTTACCACGGATCTTTAGATTGATGACATCAGAAGTAAAAAACCGCATAATGAAATTTCTTGCAAAATATATTAAAATAGAAATATATTCTTTAATATTTTTTAATGTATTCTTTATATTTTTAAATATATTTTTCGATATATTTTTAAATATTTCTTTTAAATATATTTTTCTATATACGTTCACACGCAAAAAAACCGGAACACTAAATTTTTGCACAAATTTTTAATATTTTCAAATAGCAATAACTCAGTGAAAAATCATCGAAGCGAAATATTTAAAAAAGCTTTTTAAAGCTTGAAATCTCTACTTTCCAGATCGGTACTTTAAAAGACGGTCGTACTGATATTATGTAAAGTTACACAAACATAAATAAAGATGCATAAATTCTCAAAATTTTTTACGAAATTTTCCAAGTTTCACGGTGCCAATTAAAAATTGCGCATAAATGGGGTTCACGCTTTCAAAAGAGTGAATCTCTACCTTTAATTTGGTTTTTTATAGACCTCTGTATGATTTTTTTTCACCGAGTTATTCAACATTGAAGCAAAAAGGATCGCAATTTTTAATTGGCGTCGTGGAACTTCGCAAATTTCGTAAAAAATTTTGAGAATTTATATGCATCTTTATTTATATTTGTGTAACTTTACATAATATCAGTACGACCGTCTTTTAAAGTACCGATCTGGAAAGTAGAGATTTCAAGCTTTAAAAAGCTTTTTTAAATATTTCGCTTCGATGATTTTTCACTGAGTTATTGCTATTTGAAAATATTAAAAATTTGTGCAAAAATTTAGTGTTCCGGTTTTTTTTGCATGTGAGTGTATTTTTCAATATATTAAAATCGAAATATATTTTTCAACAAAATAATATTTGCATTTGAGAGTACATTTATAAAATATACCGAACTCAACTTTTATTTCGGAATAGAATAAAATTATATTTATCTCATTTGACAACTGTAGTCACATATATATTATATTATAGTTTTTTCTTTTTGATTAGGCATAATTCAATTTTAAATATATGCAGTGATTATATATTTATTGATTATTAGATCACAAATGGAATTTTCGGTATGTTTTATTGCAAATAATATTTTATTAAAAAATGTTTACATTTTAATGTAGTTTGTAAGAATTTTCGATCTTTACGTAATTTTTTTGCTTCTATAACGTCACAATCTAAGATGGCTGTCAATAGCTGAGAGACATCAAGATAGAATTAAAATTAATATATTTTTTTTCTAGACCTTCAGATTTCGATCAAAATTTGAGTTTTTGCAATGAACAATTGTATAAGATAACAGAATTAAACAATTTGAAAGCATATGAATTTGTTTCCGTTGTTATATTTTTTTTACCTTGCGCGAGTGAGATGATTTCATATTCCCTCGATTATTTTGAACACCGTGCCGTCAAGAAGTATTGTCTTGGAGTAAATATTACTTGTGTAATTAATTAATTATTCAGAAACAATTTAGATATTACTGCGAAGCGACGTACGACGATCCGTTGAAAGAAATTCTCAGTTTTCGCAATAAAAAAACGATTATCAAGACGAAAGTATCGGTATTTGAAACGATGAGTCTGCAAAGATGGCCGCAATATTATGTAGAGGGCGACAGAGTGGGCTTGTGGCCAAAATTTTATAGAGCGCCAACTCACGGCCGGAAAAGTGTTTCAAGCGTGTCTATGCTCACGTCGATCGTTTTACAGTCTAAAGTCACGTCTTTCGTCGCATTACACTCTCGTCTATATATCATTGCGCTTTGAC